AGCCATTCTTCTGTCAACATTATTGTCTATATTTTTAAAGCTGAGAATGAAGACTTTCACAGAAAGGAAGATTTTCCAAGCAGCATCTTAGGGATCCTAGGGCAGTGTTATAGGAATCCCAAGGGAACAATAACCATAAAAGGGACAGTACTTGTGTAAGGGTGAGCTGGGGCTGGAGGACCTGTTCTCAGGTGAACCTGGCATGTGCCATCTCTTCCTCTTTTGAATCTTTCCTCAGGTTTAATATTTCTACACCTGCTTTCCGAGGCTGCATGAAAAATCTGAAGAAGACCAGCGGTGTTGTGAGGCTGAATGACACCGTGGGAGTGAGCAAAAAATGCTCCGAAGATTGGCAGGTAAGTGGAGGCTTGTGAACCTTGTGACAGAAGGTGTCCCAGCTAGCCCATTTTCCTAATGCAGCAGTACGTCAACTTTTGGCTTTTTGCTGCTAGCAGGCATTGTGGTGAACGGGCCCACTGCACAGCCCACATACTTGCAAGAGACAGAGGCCCTTTGGGTTTACATATGGAATTTGTAGGAGACTAGGGCTTTTGACCAAAACCTTCCCACTTCATTTCTTTCTGGGCTCCATGAATCACATTCATTGGTTCTAGGGCAAGTGACTGTGTTTCAGGCATGAAATGATGAGAAGGCCAGTGATTTATTCCACGTTCCTATTGCAGCTTGTGCGATCTGCCTCATTCTCCAGAGGGGGACAGTTGAGTTTCACTAATCTGGACCTGCCGTCGCCCGGCCACTTCCAGGCCTCCTTTGGCTTTCAGACCTATCAACCCAGCGGTGTGTTACTAAATCATCAGACGCGGGTAAGAGATCAGGCCTTAGGGCTGAACAATTTTAAACCTGTTTCAAAGTTTGATGTCAAACACAACGGAAATATGTTGATGCTAGAATAGCAGGGTGTTTTATCAGTCATCAAAGTAAATGTCATCATACAGTTCAAGCAAGAAAGTTATACCTCCACCCTGGGGTATAGCCTGAAAGATATGAGGCTCAGGATACACATAATAATTTATAGAACAGAATTTGCATGTATTCCTGAATGCACTCTCATTCTTTTAGGTATATTTGATGATTCAAAATGAATTATAACTTGTGAGTAATGATGTGGCTAAAAGTTTAAATATAAAGAAAAATCAGAATTTACGTCTATTGTTCCTTTTTCATTACACAAAAGGTAGATCTTTAGATTCACCTTGTTTTTCCCTGCAGCATTTAGCTGGACAGTATCTACATATGAGGAATGGGAGAAAGTAAGGTCCTTTGTTCTCTGCTCACATACAACAGAGACAAATTCTCTTCCACAAGGATGAAATCTCTTCAGTGAGGAAGAGTTTGCTAGTGTCTTATAGTGCAGCAACCAGCTAGTTCTTGGGAATCCACTTGCAGAATAAGTGCAATTTGTAAATAGAGGTGGAAGTAGAATATCATGGTCCTCTGA